GGAAGAGGACGATGCTGACGCTGCAAGCCAAAGAATTCACCGACGTGAGAGAACAGCTTGCGACGCAGAAGATCATGCTGAATATCAGTGTGGCGGTATCTAATTTGTAGGTGTCTCGATCAAACAGGAGGAGCTGCTGCCTGTCGCATGGACGTGCCTGCCTAACATTTTCTCTGCAGTATTAATACGACATACGAATCGACACCTGAGAACCGGAAGGAGCTCGTCAAGATGAAGACGGACGTCGCCAAGGTGCTTCTGAAGCTGGACCACAGCCAGCGGCGGCAATCCCATCGAAGATGTCCATCACTGCGATCTCGTCACACAAACTGAGGCTGGTTTGCATGTTGCAAGTTGTCATAAGTCAGGTGTTTGGCGATTCAAGCACCATGGAACGTGAGTTTGACGCCCTCATACTTCTTTTCCACTTTCTGCGACGGATGCTGACTTCCTTTAGACGACAAACAGGACCGATGTAGAAGGGCACGGCACGCGAAATGTGACGCTCGACTCGTGGCTAGCGGAAGAACAAACGACGAGGTTGATGACGATCTTCAGTGTCCGTGACACTCCATTCTCCCCGGATCGACGACACCCCGGCCGGCCTGCGATAGTGTCGGCGGGCAATTTCAGCACGAATTGTATGCCTCTCTTCGTGTGGCTTCAATGTCCTGATTTCCTGCGAAGCCCTGATGCAGCGAGTTCGGTCGAATCAGCCGAAAACAAAAAGAAAATACTAATAAGAAAAATACAAAAGACCCTTTTGATAGTGGAGGAAGGGTCCAGGCACCAGGCAAAGCGCCGGTGGTTCGCATTGTGGCCCAAGACAAGGGGCCCTTGAGGCAGCCGGGATGGATTCGGATGGTGAGATGGCGAGGCGGAGGATGCGAGGGGATCTGCGACCACCAAGACAAGGGAAGCGGGTGGCTTGAGTGGGGCACAGCCACCAGCGGCAACGCAAACACGGCCGCTGAGAGGCCGCTGGAGAGCACCCGCCAGCCAGTCGTCCGGTGGCTTCAGGGATCTTCCTCAGCGGGTGGCCGTTTCAGACGAAAAGCTGCAGCGCTTACTGGTACGTCATACCCGCTGAACCTCGCCGCCGTGGGGTCCAGTCAGAAAAGGGGAGGCCCACCCTCACCATACACATTAATGCGCCGCGCCTCACGCACGAATGCTTTCCCTTCCATCATATTAGACACCATTTCGCTCCCTGGTGGCACGCGAAACAGGGCCGTCAGTCTTTCATTGAATCAATCAATCAAACAAATCGAATCGTCGATAATGATGCCATGATTTTCAGAGGGCTGGAAACGAACACATCGTCTGCAATTGCGAGTCGTTAATCAGGGTACCGCACCTTGAATCTCCGAATATCCCGCTCGCCGAACCTCAATCTCGAATTCGATACCCAACTTCATTTCTTTCTAGACGCGAGTTTTGCACTCGCACTTCGCCAAAATGTCCTTCTTCAGTCCCCCGAACTGTTCCGTCGACCCCGCCACCATCTCCGTCGCTGGCAATGCCGGTATCGCTGGAGTGGCCGTCTTGCTCTCCTTCACCATCGCCGCCACCATCGCCCTTCTCCTCAGCTGGTCCATCGTCCTGTTCGAGCGGAAGGAACGCCCCTCCAGTATCCGCCGCAAGCTTCTGAACGGTTATTCCGATACGCAAATCCTCCAGGGCATCGCCATCTCCATCCTCGGGCTCGCTACCACAAACCGCATCGTCCCGTACCACTTCTTCATCATCTGGTGTCTCTCCAACATGAGCATGGCCGTCCACAACGCTACACTCTTGATTTACGGCCAGCTCCTCCGCCAGGACTGGCTGCTCCGCACTCTCCGACAGAGTCTCATGACCGTCAACCTCGCGCTCAACTGCACATACGGCGGCGTCATCCTGCAGAGCCTGGGCAAGGGCATGAAGGACTCCAAGCTGCCCGTCGGCTGTGTATGGTCCTCCGTCAACGGGTCCACCGGCGGGGGCTCGTTCATCGACTACGCGGGCACGATCGCAGTCATCGTAGCGAACGTTCTCGTCTTCTTGGGGGCTAGCTGGTACATCCACTCGCGGGGGAAACGCTTCGCCAGGCCAATGATCATGGGCGGCCTGGCCCTTATGACGGCGTCGGCGATCGGTGCCGCGGTGCGGTCCTTCATGGCCTCGTCCGTCTTTGGATCCGGGCCCCAGGGCTACAAGCTCGCTGACAACAGCGAGGAGAGGTGGGAATTCGGGCAGTTCCTGTCTATCCTGGTATTGCTGTTCCCGATAGTCAACTTGCTGGAAATCTGGCGGGGCGAGATCATGGTGGCAGAGCCCGTCTGCGAAGATGCCGAGGACCAAGAGAAGATGCTTTAATTCAATTTTTTTTTATTCTGTTCGCATGTAGATCTTTCGGAGGATGACTGGGCTGGCTTCATTGTGACAACGGCCTCGAGAGACTGTACTAATTGAACGGGCAATTTCAGTCGCCCTAGGGCTCTCTGGAGAGCAAGCGGCCCGCGCCTTCTTCCCGTTTTAAATGACTCTTGAATGTCCATGCCCGCCTATACCCGAGTCGCCTTTTTTGTCTAGGTCAGCTCATATTGACTTTCTTATGATTAAGCAGACGGAATATCGAGCAACCTTACACGTGCAGACCACGTTTACAAACTTTCAACGGTTATTCTTTAATCATATACGATATAAAAGTGCCGGCATCACTCGAGTACTTTTTGACTCAAAACGCCATGGCTTTGTACCTTGCTCGTCTCTTCGAGGGATCTTGCGACCAGAAACCTGACCCGACGCAATCAAGCCACCAATTACTTGTGCCACGTTTGATCCCCCTACGTTCCTTGTATCAAGCCACGAGCAGCTCAGGTTCCAGAAACCTGCTGCAGGGTGCATTCTTGATGACCAAATCGCCCCCAGAATGGCATTGAAAGTTACGAGGGACCCGATTGGGGGCCAATCTAGAGTGCTCATTCTGAAACTTGCCTCCTCTGGTTGGGAGGAGGGGCGCTCAGTCGCGAAGACGGTGTCGAATTCCAGAGTCTGACCGGTATGTTTGGTCAATACTGATGAGGGTGTCTGGCATTTTCACGGGCTTTCCAGTTTGCCATCCTTCCTTGGAGTTTACAGGGCCATCCAGGCGAAGCTCTGTTCCTGAAGCGAAAAGAACCAGGTGAAAACCAAAACTTCCTTGACTTCGGGACAATGTCAGAGGCCTGCATTCTTATGCCGCACACAGTAAATTTCACATCAAGGAATGGGACCTTTATTTGCATGTTAGGGTACATGCAGTGCTTCCCAAGGTTTGATGGGTTGCAAACATTTTCCTAAGCCAAGCTGCGGCGGGCCCAAGCAAGTGGCTCTGCCGAAGTTTGGATGTTTGTCAGTCGGGTAAATCTCCAGCAGAAGCTTGTCTTATTGACAGAACGGTCAATTAGTCGTGGACAAGCCTTTAGACCTGGTAGCTGCTGCTCTCAGGCGGCTTGCCTCGCTCATCTGCTACCCAGGTGTGATGTTGAACCCAAACATCACGAAAATCCAAAGCTCTCTTCACTTGTGCCGTTTCCACATCAAACCAATTGTTGCATGTGCCCTACAGGTTCAGCGACCACCCATGGCGTTTGCGCCATAGGGGATTTACCGTGATTGGCTTCCAGCTTGCTATGCTCATCTTAGTTGGCAATGTCCAACTCCTTTCCGTCTCCCCATGAGAAGAGTGAAGCGGGCTTTGACACATCCACCTGTGGGTTTGGCACCACTCCTTCCTTCCATACTGGCAGCCCTCGTCTCTATTCAATGCGTGCGCCGTGCTTTCGGAATTTTCTATTGGAGTATCGTCATGCATACTCAACGAACAAGAGAGTTGAAGGACAAACACTCCAACGCACATCAACACGTAGGATCTACCACCACCCGACCAGAACAGTGGTGGATCAACCTCTACAAGCAACAGCCACAATCACTATTTGTCGATGAAGCTGCCAATAATTCGGCCTGGCAACGAGAAAGAAATATCAGCGAGCTGCGTTTATAGCTCATACCACAAGCCCCCGGTCGCTTCCTTCCTTCCTCATTGCAGTTTTCGGTTGCAGCTGCTCGTACTAGGGACCGGCAAGCTTTGAGAAGTAGCAGCTTCCTGCTAGTCCTTCACACAACAACACCGACCGTCATAAAACAGCCGATAAAGCTCGCCTCAACACCAAACGGACACGATCATTTTGCTGGGCACTCCCGCTCTCTTGCAGCAATTGTCAAGACAAGAGCGACTACTTGGGAATCTCAGAAGCCACGGAAAGTTCGCCCATACTTCCTGCGTCTACTTGCTTCTACCTATACTGTTGACACTTTATTTTACGACACCCGCTTCCCCTTCGACTTAAAGCCACCTCGAACATTCTTTCACGGCTTTAGAACCTCTTGAAGACACAACAAGACTTAGACTTTCCTCGCGGCTTAAGATCGCGGTTTCACTTACCGTTGGCAACCTGCTCAAGAGAAAATTTCGTCACCAGTGCAAAGAACGACAGGTCTCACGACGACAACAAGTAAAATCGAACTACTATCATTCAACAGAAGGCGCCTTCCGTAAAGTTGGGTGACACTGATAAGCCTTGATAAGATTTCCTATCACTGCTCAGTCGACATCCAGTGGCAGGGACGACAGGGACGACAATCGAAACTCTTCAGCAACTTCCTTCATTTCCGAGCTCCTCTGTCTACACACTACCCAGAGTGCTACCTTCCGAAGCTCCATGAGTCGCTGAATTCGGGAAAGACGCATACTAATATCGCGCTTGCCAACGACCAGACGATCCATTTCAGACATATTTAATTTTCTTTTTCGACTTCGCCGAGCGATTGTTGCACTCATTTCGATACACATCATATACATTCTTTTGGATTCAGATATCCCGTTCAATATCCCGTTCGCTCTCCCATAGATTTATACTCACAACAAAACATTTCTACCTGTTGAGAAAGCACGGCCTGATTCTCAGCCCGCGAAGATGCTGTCGCCGCTTGCAATGGGCGCGCAGCCGGCCGATGACCTTCCCAGACCGCATGATAGAGATAGCCGCCCCGGCGAGAAGATTAAGTCCTTGGAGTTGGACGCAATCCTGCTTCTGGACTGCCAGTCAACAAGAGTCAATGAGCTGATTCTTCTTCAACTGCAGATCGGACTCAAGGTTAGTCACGCGCGCACACCCGTTCCGGCCCCTTAAGCTGACCATGATCACAGAACCTCAAAGAGGATTTCATGGTGTTCTCGGAGGCCGTGGGATCGAAACTCAGGCCATTGCATAGCAAGCATATGACCTGGAGAACGATTCCCCTCGTCCGTAACATTGTGTTCGGGGGCGAGCCCGACGACGAGGATGACAGCGACGACGAGGATGACAGCGACGACGAGAACGACGGAGATTACGAGTACTACGACATCCTCTCGCCCTTTGATATGAACGATGTCAGCGATACAGACATGACCAGTGAGGAAGATGATGATTCGGCAGAGCTGATAAGGTAAGTTGGATGGCTCAGGTATGAAAAGAAGGATTGGTCTAACATCACCAGTACCGGATTCGGCCACGACCTTGAGACTCTCAAGCCCGCCGGTCTCCCGTTTCTGAGGGCCAAGAAGGGCGAGGACGGTTCTGAAGAAGAGAGACCCGTCATCTTCCAGAACGAGTTCTTCGAGATCCGGCGCTCTCCTGTAGCCGGTTGGGGCGCGTTTGCCACGAGGAAGCTGGACAAGGGAGACCAAATCCTCGTTGAGAAGGCCCTTTATCATGCGACTTATGAGGATGTGGAATCTTCTGTCCTCAGCCTTCACGAGCACGAACAGAAGGTCGCCAATGATCTGCATGCCCATTTCGGTCGCGATGGAGAGACCAAGGCGCAGGCTGTTTGGAACACCAATGCGTATGTTCCTTTCCTACTATCTTCCAAATATTCTGCTGACCCATCACTCAGGTTCGCATCCAAGCTACCCAAGGACACCGTCTCGACCCGTAAGAAGGGTTCGGGAGCATGTAGGGATGTTGCCGGCCTCTTCCCTATCGCTGCTCGCTTCAATCACTCCTGCAATCCCAAGGTGGGGTACAGATACGATGCTGAGGAGGAGGTACTGATATTCGAGGTCCGCGCTTGGGTCATCGAAGAGGGCGACGAGCTGACCATCAGCTACGGTAAAGATCCCTCGGTGTTGTATTATAAGTTCGGATTCAACTGCGGATGCGGCTACTGCGGCGGTTTCGACGAGAGCAGGTGGAACTTTTAGGTGTGTTTGGTGCAATTGTATAAGATTTGAGCGGGAGCAACTTGGACAGAGAGCATGCAGATAGACATTGCGGAGCGGCCTGCAGCGGTTTGCTTTTTTTGGTTTCGGCGCTGCTTTAATTCAGATAGAAAAGACCGGAGAAAATTGCGATCACTTCCTCGACGATAATTCCTGCCTCCAATCGGGATGTCACGAGCTGTTGTGCCGCCGAGAGTTGCACAACCACGGCGAACGCTGCAACTTTGGCCGACAAACCCCATCTCGTTCCGAGAATGGTTGTCCACTTGCGACCGGGGGTAAGTAAAATGAAAGGTGACAAAACACCCTTGCCTCGTCTACATCTGTGCCGCAATGATAGGATAGACCGCACCAACAGCGAGTCACGTTGCGGAGATTGAGCCCGCGTTGCAAGGGGATTACAAAACCCGTCTCTCCTGACCCATTCCCGAAGACGCCAGATTCGTTCCTACTTCACGGAGGCTCTGAGACAGAGAGCCCGGATACTCAGCCTTAAAGGATGGCCGATTCACCTGCGGAGACGGCGCCGGCGAGCCCACACCGGTCGCCCAAGTCGTCGCCGGAATCCCCAGAGTCTCCGTCCGCCCAAGCGCCCGCAACCGGCGAGGCCCCGGTACCGGCACCGCAAGAGGTCATTGATGCCTCGGAGGTTTGTTATTGACATCATATTTTCGTTCCGTCATGTTGAATCTGACGTGATGCGCAGGATGATAATTCAGTCACGGATGATCAAATGTGAGCTTTGCCGGTATTTCTTATTCAACGCACATGGGACGCTGTAGCTAAGCTGGATGAGAAGTTCGTCTTACACTGCATCTCTCACCTCATCGGTTCTCAACTACCCGACTGAATACGGACGGCGGTATCATGCGTTCCGAGCGGGAGGTAGGTTTCTAATGAATATCGCTGGTGCTGACCGTGTTACTGAGATGAATTCAGCATATAACTTCCCGAACGACGAGGTACTTGTTGGAAGTGTCTGGTGACGAAATTGAGTGTTAACTGTCTGGATTAGGACGAGATGGACCGCCTTGATTTGACGCATTGTATGGAACGGAAAACGATTGGCGGTGAACTATTTCTCGCCCCGATAAGTGACAATGTGCAGCGCATCATGGATGTCGGGACTGGAACGGGCATTTGTGAGTGCCTGGTATCGCCCAGGAGAACCTAGAAAGGTGGTTACTGAGACATACCAGGGGCGATAGAGATGGCGGAAATGTTTCCTAGCGCCGAGGTACGCGTCAAAACGGCGTTTTTCTTGAATCTTGGATGGTGTGATTCTCACCGAGAGACAGATCATCGGCAACGACCTGAGCGCCATTCAGCCAGAATGGTAACGGATCCCATCATGTCACCAAATATCTCACAGAAGCTGACAACAGACTAGGACACCGCCCAACATCAAGTTCGAGATCGACGACGTTGAGGATACATGGGTGGGCCACCAACCGTACGACTTCATCTTCAGCAGGTACATGGCGGCGTCTCTCGCAGACTGGCCAAAGTACGTGGGGAATATTTACGAGTAAGTCAAACACGATGGCTGTCTCGACAGACTCTAACTTCGGAACCGCGTTTTAGCAACCTGAAGCCCGGCGGATGGGCCGAGTTCCAAGACTACGACCTCATGCTCGACTGCCAGGACGGCACGCTGGAGAACACGGAAGTCTGCCGGTGGAACACGCTGATGATGGAGGCCTGCGCCAGGCTGAAGCGCGAGGCGGCGCCCGGGCCGAAGCTGGAGGGCTGGGTCCGAGACGCCGGTTTCCGGGACGTCCAGCGCCGGGACTTGAAGATCCCCCTCGGTCCGTGGGCGAAGGACCCGGAGCTGCGGGATATTGGGATGTGTAACCTTGCGCAGACGCTGGAAGGGCTGGAGGGGTTTACGATGAAGCTGTTTTGCGGGGTGTTAGGGTGGAATGAGGAGGCTGTGATTGTGTTCCTGGCTAAGGTTCGTCGGGAGCTGAAGAGGGGGGATATACATGGGTTTTTGAACTAGTATGTTGCCGCAGTGATTGATGGGGGTGTTTGCTAATATGGTACGCAGCTACGTGGTGTATGGTCAGAAGTCATAGGATTACATGAGGGATGATAGCATCTTATGAAATCCGAAAACGAGCGGCAGGGTCTCTGGAATAGTATATAACACGCTTGTCATTACAGATGGAAGTAGCAGAGTCGGATTTAGGCGTAGATTTACAAAGCAAAATCACCCGTGTTCCTAATCAGACTTCTTTGGCTGCCTGCTCGCAACATTGGGATCGTTCTCGGAGTAAGCAATATACGTCCATCGCTCATCATACGGCTTCGTCTTATCCACGAACCGCAAATCCGTCGACACGCGGATGCGGCCCTTTGGCGACTGGTTCATCGCCCCGGCATGGACGGCGTACGGAGTATGAAACACCACATCACCAGCCTCGTACGCCCCCTACGAAACACCATCGTCAGTAAACACAAGAAATCTTCAACAAGGCGAGACTCACCACAAGCCAGCCGCGAGACCAGTGCTCCCCAAACCTCCTCGCATTCCTATCCAGCCACCCGCCCTTCTCCATGTTCCTGTTAAACGCCGAGATCCTGTCCGCGTCGGGCAGCACCGCATTCACCCTCGAAAAGTCCTGCTCATACTTCTTCCCGATCTCAGCCGAGCGGTCCAGGTAAATCAGCCCGCCGCCCTCCAGCTCCACGTCGCCGATGGGCACCCACGCCGTCACGCTCGTCGGCGGCCCCGCGCGCAGGAAGATCTGGTCGTAATGCACGGGCGTCGTCTCGCCCCCCGGCACGGCGCACCGCAGCAGGGACCTCGGCAGACACCAGCTCTCCTCGAAGCCGGCGAGCTTGCCGACGAAGGGCTCGAGCTCGCGGCCGACGGTGTCCTTGAAGTCCTGGTAGAAGGCGGCGCTGTGGCTGGCGATGGCGTTGTCGACGAAGGGGCCCTCGTCCTTGAGGCCGCAGGCGACGCGGACGGCGCCGGGTAGGAGGAACTCGCGCCAGTCGAGGCCGGAGAAGATGCCGTCTGCGGGGTCGGTGCCGGGCTTCAGCATGCCGGTGCCGTTGTCGACGAAGGTGAGGTAGTCTGAGCGCATTTTGTTGACCATGTCCGGGTTGAGGAGGCCCTTGACCTATGAGAGTGTGTTAGTGAGTAAGTGGATGTGGGAATCAGCGGAGGAAGGGGCGTACCCAGACGACACCGTCTTGCCAGTATCTCTGTTGGATCTCCTCGATGGGAGTGTCGGGGTAAACGGGTTGGAGCAGCCTCACATCGTCGAGGACACCGCCGTTACCGTGCAGCGAGAGCTTCTCGTCGTCTTGAACCACGGACTTTTCCTGTGAAAAGACAGGTTTTGAGTGAATGTCAGGGGCGCTGTAACCAAGGACTTCAGTCATGTTGGCGATGTTGACGACTTGTCTGATGTATTTGGACACAACTAAGGTATCAATGGTAGCCGAGAAAGTTTTGCTTATGAAGGCAAAGCATTTGTGTTTGAGCTGACGTATATCCATCTTGGAGTCCTGCGTGCATCTTCCGTCTTTATGTCCTCGAATCTTTTCGATTCGAATGGTCAGCTGGGAGGGGGAGACGGTGCCTTGAGTGATTGCCGAATACAGTAATGGGCATCGTTCCCCGAATCATTGCCCGGAGGCAGGGGCGGGGTTGACTCCCGGGGAAGCAGTCGATTGCCTAATCCGGTAATTTGGACACCGTTCCCCGGAGAAGCCGTGAGTATGACGCAGATTCGGGATGTCAAAGTTGGGGTCTCATCATTTCGATGCGGGCTAGTTTTCCCGCCAAAGCACGGCCGGAACTGTATTGGCCTGAACTCCAGTTGGTACGAGAGTAGTAAAATACCAACCGGTGGTGATCCACGTAGTCGACTACCTGGTTTCGACGTCAACATACTCATCAATAGCCGAAGTGTCAAAGAAGAGATTCGACCAAGGCCCACCAAAGTCCATCAAGGACGTCTCAAACGCTGATATCTCGTCAACAGTACACGCACTCGCCAGCATATCCATCCCGGCCGACGGTGTCTTCGCCGTCACCTCTCGCAACTCGTTGAGTATCTCTACATACCGCTGCCCCACCAAGTCGCCTTGCACGCCGACAGGAAACTCAGCCATGGCCTCCTCTGCAGTTTCCCTGACATGAGTCGCCTCGGGCCACAGATGCGAATACATGTACAAAGTGCCCAGCGCCGCGAACTGCATGTAGTTGACCAGCCAGAACGCCCTCGAGAACAGGCCTCGCTGACAGAGGTAGCGGCACTCGTTGACGACTACCCTGGCCGCTTCGATGGACTTGTCGTGACATCTCTTGACCCACTGCTCGAGTCTTGACACAGATCCGGTGGCAGGGTCCATGGAGTAGAGAATGAAAGGGCGGTAGAGGAGGAGACTGGCGTGCGCGAACATGAGTTTCAGCGTGCAAGTCTGGCGTTGGGTCATTGTAGATAGCGCTGATGGGGGCAGGGCGACGTAGTTGAGGTACGCGGGCAGATTGTCCTGCCAGTCCAGCAGACTCTTTTCGAACTCGGCCGCAAACTGGTGCAGCTGGGTGATGCTGTTGCTCCGGGCGGCGGGACTGTAGAACTTTCTGAGGATCTTGCCTAATATCCTGGAGAGGCGAGCGTAGTGGATGAGTGCCGCGGCAGAGCAGAACTCTCCGTAAGGGCTTACTCGGCAACCCGCTGCAGTGATGTCGTCGTCGTTGGCCAGGGCGCATTCGTCTTGGTCAATGTCATCGTCGTGTATGGCGCATGGACGGCCGAATATGCTGCTGATGATTCGGTCGTTGACGTAGATGGCCCAGAAGAGTCGTTTGCGATACTCGTGGGTGATACAATTGCTCAACGGGCCGACGGAACGGCGGTGAAGGCCGAGGGCTTGGGCGTGGCGGACGACGATGCCGAAGGAGGACCAGGCTTCGTGCATGCGCGAGTGGTTCAGCAGGTAGTGTGTCGCGAGGAGTCTCGCTTGAAGAGATGCAAACGTGATCTTACTGGATTCTCTTTGAAGCTGGCGGTCGGCCATGTGGTAAAATCGGACGCTTCATTCATAAGGGTCAGTCAGAACTGTAAGGGATGTTCGCCCATGTCGTACCTAGAGGAGTAACCGCAATACATGTTGTTGACTCTCGAGTAATGGGAACCAAGCGTCAGTACCATGTAAACCAGGGCTAGACTGTCATTGTTGAGACTATCGCCCTGGCCGTCGCTGTAGAGCTTCTCAAAGGACTCCATCAGAGTCGGCTCATGCACGAAGCGCGACGTGGTCAGGCCAAAGTCGAAGAAGGTCCGCATCAGCCTGTCGGCAACAGGTTTCGGAGGAAGAATCGGTGGCAAGTTGCTGGACTCGGCGAGTGGGTAGTCGGAGAAGTGAATCGACATTGACGGCAGACGGGCGAGTTTCTGCTTGGCCATGTGGAGGAAGGCAAAGTCGGAGGCGCCGCCGTGGAAGTGGCCGTACTGGTCCTCCTGAAGCGGCCCGTCGGGCGTCTCGCTGGAGGTCCCATTCGCCGGTGGTGACGATTGAACTGGTGAGAAGTCATGAAGGCTGTCTGGCTGGGCGCCGTGTGAGTGCTGCTGCTCGAAAGAGATTGTTGTCGCCGTTGCGATTGGCGATGGTGCTGAGGGTGTTGCTCTTGGGCGTCTTTCTGGAGGACACGGCGATGCTGTCGTCGGCATGTACTGACATGGCTGGTCGTGCTGCTGACAGCGGATGCATGGTAGGTGGCCGGAACAGCGAGTCTTCTTTCTTTAAAGGGAGTTAGTATTAGGATATGTTTTGTGAAATAAAGCAACTCACTCTCTGCAGGTCATGCAGGCATTCCTAATCTTCAAAGATGGTCCATTCTGGCTGTCACCGTGAGTGCCTCTCCGTTTGCGTTTCTGGCCGGCTGTTTGTCCTGGTGTTTGGTACGGAACAATCTTCAGCGGTGGTGCTCGGGCAGAAGCAGCGCGATCCATTTGTAGTCCAAGGGCACTAGTTGAGCATTCCCAAGCACTTTAATCGCTTTTTGAAGAAGGCCGTCTCGAATGCGTGTAGTTGGCAAACATCATCTAGATGCAAACGGGCAGCCGAGGTGAAATCAAGGAGCCGGGACTGACTGACCAACCCCCTGTTTCTTACTGGCAGAGGGGTCAGAAGGGCGCTGCAGCCTGTGTGGAGAGGGGCACGTCAGGGCCCCAACGCAATGGGCTTCACTGGGTCACCATCAACTGGCTGTCTTTCTCCGTCTTCGACCGTCCATGACCACATCACGATTACCATGTTGTTGTGTTAGTTGATGTTTTGTGTCTACAACACAGACTCATTATTCAACTGGTTTGAGCCGTCCTTCTTCATTCCACATCTCCCATATCATCTACAGCATGTACCTAAACCCACTGGCCCGCTGCGCCGCCGTCGGCCCGCTCACACCCAGCTCTCTCCCATCATCCATCTTCCGGTTCTCCCTCCTCAGATACATCCTCGTCACCGTGGCCGTCACAATCGCCGCCCCGGCCGCCACCAAATTCACCGTAAACGCGGCGAAATACCGCGGCGCCCCGTTGTACAGGTACGGCGTCCACACGTTTGGCGTATTACACACCGACACGATCAGCGCAATCGCCGCCGCCCGCTTCGTCACCGGCTGGTTGATGGTCCCCGCGATCCACGACAGCAGCACCGTCGAGCCCGCGTAGAAGGACGCCGGCATCAGCATCATGGCCGTGTACCGCGCCCCGACGTTGAGCGTCGACACGGCGATGACGTTGGCCGCGAGCGTGACCCCCAGCGGCGCCACGACGTGCCAGTACCGCTCGCCCGCGCGGTCCGAGTGGAACCCGTTGGCGAGCATCGTCGCGCAGCAGAGGATGAAGGGCGGCGCCGTCAGCGCGTAGGTCACGGTCCGCGAGTACCCCAGCGTCGCAACCACCGGCGGGAAGAAGTTGGTCACGCCTGCTGATGTGAAGATGCAGTACAGCGTCGCGAGCATGAGCCACGTCTTGGGGTCGCGGACGGCCAGCATGAAGCCCTGCCGCGCCGAGACTTCGGAGCGGTCGTCGCTCTGGCCTTGGTCCTTTTCGTA